ATTGAGATAAGCTTATTCAATTTACACGCTACACCACATTTACAGAAATTGCTACTTTTATCCGCCTCTTTGGCCTTGGCTCAATGTCTGTGCTACCAGGAAACTTGCGTCTCTACGTTCATTTCCAGAACCTCTGGAATTTTGCCTGGTGATGGGAAAAATCTGAAGTTACGAACAGCTTCATAGTCTCTAAACTCGTGACCGGCATTCCTGGTTTCTCCTAATCTCTCGTCTGCTGGCTCGCAGCGCCTGTCCTCTGGTTCTTGTATGCTTTTCCCCTTTGTGTTGTCCGTCGACCGTTTTACATGTAGATGTTGCATTGAAGGACCGTCACTACCATCCTTTCTCGCCACCTGAAATCTTGCTGATGACCCCCTGAGCTGTATCTGATTCTCCGTCGATCGGTCGCTCAGTCTGATGGATTGCTGATCTTCCTTTTCATTTCTTGAGGATTTGTTACTCCTTAGTCTTGGCTCCCTTTTCTCTGTCAGCTCGCTTCCTTTTGATGCGTCGAGCCTTGGTTCTTTTTTTCTTTTCAACTCCCTCATTCGCAACAACCCTTCTTTTATTTCCCGGGACTTGTATTCAAGATATCGCTTGAAATTCTGTAGACTTTATAGCTGGCACTGCATTTCTGTTAGGATGTAATTCTTGCAAAATATTTTTAGAAGGAGCATATCAGCCCGCTCATATTATTTCTTTATCTGATCCATATAAGCCAACCTATTCTCACTATTTTGTTTCTTTATCTAAATCACTGTCTCCCAAACGTTTTCAATTACGAAATGGCCTTCAGATTTAGGGAAACATTTTCCCACTTTAACCTCAAGTGCACATGAAAGAGTATGTTTTATTTTAAGTACTTTATCTCCCACCTTAAAATTAAAGTCGCACCTCCTCTTCACATAATTTTGTTTTTTTGCTTGCATTATCCAAATTATTATTTCGGATATCTTCGTCGACTAACTTCTGCCATTTTAAATTACGCAACGCTCTTTTGAACGAAAAATAGCTCTGAGAGTTGCAATTAACTTTCTACCAAGAATTAATTCAGCTGGCGTCTTCCCAGTAGTATCATGTTTAGCCGTCTTCAAGACAAATGCAAATTCATTGTCACAGACATCCCAGCGCATATAATAATTCTGTATATACTAATTCTAGAATAGGATTCTTACAGTAATTTCTAATCTATGAATTTACTGGATTATGAGGAACTTGTTTATCTATATATGACAGATATGTCTATTAGAAATTTTGATGTTATATAACAGCTATCAATATGATTGTTTTACTATTATTATATGCTTATTATCTACTATATATTTTTAAAAAGGATTTTTTTGATTTTAAAAAGGATGTTTTATGCAATTAACCCTCATGTTTATTGAGACCTCATGTCTCATAACAAATTAATACCTTAACTATGAACTATTGTGCACTGTTATATGAGTGTTTTGATCACTCATGTACTTTTAATGTGTTTTTAATAATATATGTATTACTTTACTTTATGTTTATGTATAGATTTATGATTAATGCACAGTTATGGATCACTTCTATATGTAATGGTAACACAACACTAATATATCTATGTAATCAATATGTAATATTTATGTACATGTGCAACAGAAAAACGCTTGAAATCAAAACACCCAGATTTAACTAAGAAACTGCTTGAATATTTTTTTTAAAAAAATGCATGAAAATATGCTAAAATATAGGTACCTTAAAAAATATATGGTAATTTAAGATAAGTCCCTATCAAAGGCTTCTATCTGATAGCACTTTAGATAGCGAAAAACAAAAAGCCATATACGGAGAAGAATTATTTAAGCCTAGCATATTGCAAGCTTATGAAGAGGTTTTGGGAAAAAAAGCAAAAGCTGTACAAAAACTGAAAGTAATAATTCTGGTAACACTGTTAAGCTCAGAATTGAAGAAATGAAATGACTGGACATGGCTCAGAAGTTGTTGCAAAGGTAAAAAATGTTAGTCATCCCAGATTTTCTGTCTACACCACTGCATTACACATAGTGAGCATCTTGTGGTGAAAAAGATGTCCCCAGTACTACACCAAATATTATCACATATTTTTAATATCATAAATGAAATTCGACACAAAGTGATTAATTCTCCGCTACAGTCAAAAGTCTTTAATCCGGACCTCAAAGCTACAAACTTTCTGTGCATGCGTAAATGCATTAATGCGTTTACGCATGCATGTTTAATGTATAACAGATGGTATAAGCTAGGCTAAATGATTTAATTATCTATTTCAGTTAATGTTGCAGATTGTGTTGCTCCTTAATCTTTGAATTGGATCCGGCTTATTATTTTTTACAGACTATTAGAGTAATTTTATAAAAGTAAGCTTGAACTTTCGATTATGTCAAATAGAATTTCCGATTCTGGAGCCGCCAAAGGATCTACAAAGCAAAAGCATGTTTCAATGTCCATCAAACAAAAAGTAGAATTGCTGCAAAAAATGGATAAAGGCATGAAGAAAGTGACAGATAGGTTAGTGAAAACGAAAAAATTTCAATTGACAAGTTAGTCGGTATTCTCGGCACAGCAATTACAGGACTTGAACAGCGAAACTTTGTAACTGAACAAGAAATTATGTCTGTTTATAGAATTAAAGAGAAAGTATTAGCACATAAAATGAAGCAACTTAAACAACTTACAATGAAAGAAATGTTTAATAAAGTAAACAAAATTAATATTAAGTTTTTTTTTTGTAAATTTTGATACCCTTTAAATCATAATTGCTCTTTATTTCATGAATTACGGTTTCATATTTTAAATTTTATAATTTCTGCATGCCATCTTACCACATTTAAACTGATGATCTATAATCCGGAAAAACCAATAATCCAGAATAGCCGAAGACCTGACGAGTCTGGATTAAAGACTTTTGACTGTATTTGCAACATTTTGTGAAAAAATGGGTATCCAGTATACTCACCTTCTTCTTCACACTGACTTGGCTTTTGAGAGGCTAAATACTGACTCGACTTTTCTTCAAGAAGTCAAATTATTTTTCATTAGCAGAATAATCTGGAATTTAAAGAACTCTTGTCCAACGATGAGTGGATAGCCAAGCTTGCATACGTGACAGATGCTTTTCCTCTGTTATTAGAACTAAATATATGTAAGGCCAACTTAAGCATGTGTTTGCAGTACAAGTAAAATAGATGCTTTTCAAAAACAATATCACTGGCAAATGCTGTACAAAGAAATCTACAAATGTTTGTAAATTTTAATGAAATTATGGGAGAGAAGGATCTCAACCAGCAAGTGGCATCCATTATTCAATAGCACTTACAGTCACTGGCAGAATGTTTTGGTTTTATTACCTAAAGCAAAGAAGATCCTAGGCAAGGAAATATGTGGATAATGTATCCATTGTCAGCAAACACTGAAGATAGCAAATTAAGCATAAATGAAAAAGAAAGCCAGATAACCTGTTTTGCAATACAATTTAAAAACTAAATTCCAGTCATCTTTATCAAGACCTTATTTTTGTCTCTCTATAAAAAATTTAATACCCATCAAAGTGGAAAAGGAATGAAAATTTTAATTCAATTTTCAACAACATATTTGTGTGAAAAGGCATTTTCAATTGTATCAGCAATTCAAACTCGGTACAGGTCTTGTCTTGAAATAAACGTGGCTCTTCTTCTTGCAGTGATATCACTAGAAACAAAAAATTAAGAAACTGATTTCAAATGAACAGGAACAAATATCTCACTGAAAACGTGTAATACTTAACTTTTTCATTTTTTTTAAGTAATTGCTCTATAACTTTGTTACCTTTAATGGATGCATTTCACATTAATAAAGTAAACAGTTTCTGATTATTATTATTATGTAAATGTATTTACCTATTTTTCTAAATTCGTATTAGCGGTCCGCCAAATGAGAAAATATACATTTAGTGGTCCATGAAGTTCTGAAATTTGGCGACTTCTGCTTTAGAGAATGTTGGAAATGACAGTAAACCGATTAACCACAATGGTAGAGGAATGATACCCCCATTACTCACTCCTTTTTTGCATGTCTTCGTGGTGTAACTGTTAGCATACTTGATGTGTATTTGCAATGTGCAGGTTCGAGTACCGTCAAGAATATGGCTCATTTTTCTTGTACTCCTGCTTAAAAAATACTCAATGTCTTTACAGTAGCACGCAAACTAAAAAGGTGGTGGATGATGGTTCTTCAGCTCCAAAATTTGGCGATTGTGTCCGCTAATTCCCAGTAACCCTTTAAAAGGGGGCTGTATAAGGTATTTTCTTCCTATTTCCAGAATGCCTTCATAGTGTAATAATTAGCACACTCGGTGCGTATTCGAGAAATCCAGGTTCGAGTCCTGACAAGCGCATTGGTCATTTTTCACCTTTCCTTCTTTAAAATAACCTAATGACTACAACATCTATCCTTAAAAAAAGCAAAAAGAAATAGAGAAATAGCAGTTACTGTACATCCTTCTTTATAGAAACTGAGGGTCGTAGTTACATAAAACCAAAGTAAATGATCCTGTGAATATGTAAAGATGTTAATTTTAAACTTCATTTGCATTAAATACTGGTCTTTGAGGTCAATTATGTTTGTTAAAAATGGTTGATGAGAAAATACACAAGTACTGTAAATTTTTTAATTTAAAGAGGTTTAATGCAAAGGACGTATTATTGTAATTACAGATTTTTTTAAAAATTTAGATATTTTCTGTATAGATTGGTTAATACAAATAAATTCTATTTGCATTGTGTTTGTTTTTACACACTTTGCTAATAATTTAAGGAATACAGAAATGCCAATTCAGTGATTAGAATTGAAGTTTTTGTGATTTTATTACATGTACTAAAAATTATCATTTAGACTATCATCGGATTTTTAGGATTTGTACTTTTTAAAAATTTTATTAATGTAGTATATTTTAATAGCATTTTTAATTGTATAATTATTCTTGGAAAATAAATATTATTATTTCTTTCATTGCTGTTTATAGGATTTACATGCCCTAGACTGGGATGATAAAGAGTTGATTGCATCTTATAATAGAAGCATGAAAGATAAAGTAAGAGTTTAAAGTTATTTATTTGAATTTAATTGCACTCAGTACTATACTGCAGTATTTATGTTTGAAAAAATAATTAATATTAAAAGATGTAAAGAATAACTTTAGCCTTGATAAACAAGCAAATAAATAAGAACTAAATGATTGTGCCTACATATAATAATAATTTTCCCAAAAAGGATAAAAGTATGTGTTAAAGAGAGAATACACAAAATTGAAATATAGTTTTCAAATGTTCATTGAATTTTGGGTTCTTTTGTATTAAAATCGTACCTCCTGAAAGTTTTTTTTTTTTTTTTTGTTTTGGCATCAGGTGTTTCCAGTTTAGTTTGACATCTTTATGAAAATTATTTTCCAAAGTGAGTAATAAAGTAAAAAGAAAGTACGGTACTTTCTCATAAAAGTGGCCACCTCTTTGAGTCACCCAAATCAAATTAGTTGCCAGATTTGGCAAACTTGTAATATAGTATGTATTATATAATATGCACAGTGTCCTTAAAAATCCTTACTCAGCCTTTATTTTTACAACAGTTGGTTTTAGACATATACAGTCAAAAGTCGTTAATTCGGACACCCATAATCCGGACCTCAAAGCTAAAAACTTTCTGCGCATGCGCCGCGTTGGCATATGCGCACAGGCGTTTTACGCGTGTGCATAAGGCCTTGACTACTGCGCATATGCGTGTGCGCAAGTGCAGAATACGTTTTAGCCTGCGCGTTTAATGTATAACGGACGGTGTAAGCTAAAATTATCTAATTATCTATTTCACTTAATGTTAATGATTGCGTTGTTCCTTAATCTTCGAATTGGATCCCGCTTATTATTTTTTGCAGACTGTAAGAACAATTTTATAAAAGTAAACTTGAACTTTCGATTATGTCAAATAGAATTTCCGATGCTGGAACTTTCAAAGGATCTACAAAACGAAAGTATGTTTCGATGTCCAACAAACAAAAAGTGGAATTGCTGCAAAAAATGGATAAAGACATGAAGAATGTGACAGAGAGGTTAGTGAAAACGAAAAAATTTCGATTGACAAGTTAGTCGGTATTCTCGTCACAGCAATTAACGGGACTTGAACAGCGGAAACTTTGTAACTGAACAAGAAAATTATGTCTGTTTATAGAATTAAAGAGAAAGTATTATCACATAAAATGAAGCAACTTAAACAACTTACATTGAAAGAAATGTTTAATAAAGTAAACAAATAAATATTAAGCTTTTTTTTGTGTAAATTTTGATACCCTTTAGATCATAATTGTTCTTTATTTCATAAATTACGGTTTCATATTTTTAATTTTAGAATTTCTGCATGCCATCTTACGAGATTTAAACTGATGATCTATAATCCGGAATCGCCGAAGTCCCGATGAGCCCGGATTAACGACTTTTGACTGTACTTACAAAAATTAACACTCTTAAATTTCAAGAAATCTCTTTTTAAAAGTAACGAAATTGAATTTTTAATATGTTCCTTTGCTTACATTCAGGAAATTTTGTACTGCATATTAAAAATAAAATGCAAAAAATTTGACTCGTGTGTGACAAAAATTGAATAAGATATTTAATTTCAAAATAATGTAGTTTTCGATATCTTCAATTTGTGTTGAGCATCGGTTAAAAAATAAATTAGAATAATTCATAGTTGATTTTTTCTCTTTAAATGCCATTCAGTGATATTTTGTGATGTACTGGAGCCTTTAATGTATAGTTTTGTTATATTTAGAAAGAATTTTTGCACACGTATTGTAAATTTTTAAAGTCTAAAAAAAATGTTTTTAATGAAGAATCATAATCTATTAATTGCACAGAAAAACATTGATATATACTCAATGCTTTCTTAATATTTACTTATCTGAGGATGCTACAAATTCTGTAAGTAATGTGGTATGGAGTTCCTAAGCTGGTAGACGACTGCATTGCAGTACGAGTAAAAGAATTGCTGTTTTCAACTTCTGTGGTACACCTGCATCAGTTAATTCATGGAAAGGGGGAGATGTTTATCTAGTAATTATTGCTATGAAAAATGTATTCCTAATGGCATGACTTCAATGAGATCAGTATTGTCATCTGAAAAAGTTTTCTAGCACTCGGCAAAATCATAACCATCATGTTTTGATCTATGACATGTTCTTCATAAATTAATATATGCAAACATAATAGTAATTGCAAACGAAATGTTGAGTCTTCAGTATAATTCGCAAGAGTATGATAAAAAATTTTAACTTTGATGAAAACTTCTGCGATTGAAGCCATAGATAGCCAAATGACAGCCTATGAAAATCAATTGGTAAAACTACTTAAAAGTGTTTTTTATTTCTTTTGTTACTTGAAAATTTTGTGGCAGTCATTTTAACAGGGTTGCCATGCTACCGGGAAAAGTCGGGGAATTCGAAAATTGACCAAAAAAGTCGAGTAATTTTATACGGTGATCCCACCCAAAAAAGTGATTTTTACGCCAATGTTGGAAGCTATCATTTTCTTGTCAAATTATGAACCGTGTGAGCATCATTTGGGCAGCTGGCGTAGAGCCAATTTTTCCAGCTCCAATTAGATTGCCTTTTGGAAAAAAGTAAAGCAGGGTTCGTACGGTTCTTAAAAGTCCTTAATTTCGGCCAAATTTGGCAGAAGGTCCTTAATTTTAATCATCTGAAATTTCTGCCTGTTCTTATTTTTGCCATTTTGAGTGGAAATTAGGATTTTGGAGGGATATTTTGGGCGATTCACTGACATATATGGCTATCTTTTAAATATGTGAATGGGTTATAATTTGTACCTATTTTGTACCTATTATAATTTGTACCTATTATTTTCCAGCTCCAATTAGATTGCCTTTTGGAAAAAAGTAAAGCAGGGTTCGTACGGTTCTTAAAAGTCCTTAATTTCGGCCAAATTTGGCAGAAGGTCCTTAATTTTAATCATCTGAAATTTCTGCCTGTTCTTATTTTTGCCATTTTGAGTGGAAATTAGGATTTTGGAGGGATATTTTGGGCGATTCACTGACATATATGGCTATCTTTTAAATATGTGAATGGGTTATAATTTGTACCTATTTCTAATGTAAATGGTGGGATGTTTCAGTTTCTAAGCAAGAAGTGTAACATGAGCATTTTGAAATTCATTTTTTCTAATGAAGAGCTCTTAAACAACTTTTCGCTTTTGCAGGTGTGAATTCTTTTATTCAGCGGTTCTAAATTTGGTGACTTACCAACAATTTGGCTATTTTAAAACAGGGTTTATACAGTCCTAAGTTTTTTTTAATTGATTTTTGGTCCTTAAAAGCCCTTAATTTCGGCCAAATATGGCAGAAGGTCCTTAGTTTTAATCATCTGAAATTTCTGTTTGTTTTAATGACTGTCATTTTGAGTGTGAATTAGCATTTTGGAGGAATATTTTTGGTGATTCGCTGACAAATATGATCTTTGAAAATATCTTTGAATGGGTAATTGCATTAGTGGGTTATAATTTGTTCCTGTTTCTAATATAAATGTGGAATAAAGTTTCTGAGCAAAATAAAAATAAAGTCAGACATAAGAATTTCGAAAGTATTTCATTTTTTCTAATGAAGAACTCTTGAACAACTTTTCGCTTTTGGGGATGTACATTCTTTTATTTTCTTTTATTAAACGGTTCTAGATTTCATGACTTAACAACGTAGTGACGGTTTTAAGATTAGTTTCTATAGAAATATTTTAATTCCAAGATCTGGGAATTTTTTGACGACTTTTTTAGAACGTTATAATATTGATAAATTTCATAAAAGTAAATGTAATGTATTGTAAATGTAAATGTAATGTATTTTTCTCTGTCATATTATAAATTCCATTTTGGCTACTTATTATACACTATTTTGAATCTGAAAAATAAGCAAGGTATAATGCTATAGCAGCGCAATTTACGAAACAGTTCTTAGCAATAGCAAAATAGCTATGTAATTAATAAAAAAACATCTTTTTAATTTTTTCATGGTAAGAGTTTTCCCATGTAATTGTCTCAGAATATGCATCAGTTTTCTCTATAAAATAAATTTTACACTTTTTTCTTCCGATTCTTTTTTCAAAATATTTCTGGCTTTTTGCTGTTATAGAATTGGTAGGGGTAATTTTTCTTTAGGATTTTAGACATTGCAGCTTGGAAAGGTTAGAAAGATTTGAAAACAAGATTTATAAGCCCACGATTCTAAAAGATTCTAGAAAAATGTGACAAAATGGAAAATGTCTCCATGGTATTAACACGTAATTTCTTACTTTTTGGAGAACATCTGGAAGAACAATGAAACCATAATAGCTGAATGTTTTACTTCTGATACTAGAATTTTTTTCTTAACATTTTTATCTTCCCTTTATTTTCTCTACTTTTCACTAGACACATGCATGGAAAATATCAAAAATGCTTCTAATCTTATCATAGAAACAGGCATTATAGAAAAGAAGTTTTTTTATCAATATAGAAATTGAAAACTGATAATTTAAAAGATTCATCTAATATGTCTTAATGTATCATGCACGGGGTGGCACTAGGCATTTTCCCGACCTGATGCAATCTCTGTGGATCCTAAATTCTACTGCTTGGTGCCTTTCTAAATTCTGCCTCTAATGCCTGCTCTAAATTCTAAAAGTTTTGCCATTTCTAGATTTTGTTGCTCGGTGTATCACTAAATTCTAAAGATTTGCCACACCAGCTCTGTAACTGGACTTTACCATATACATTTCATATTTCTTCTGAATTTTCATATTACTGGAGAAATAAAATTATCAGCTTTTTCTTTACATTCTAAATGCATTTAGTCTTTTTAGAATAACAAAAATCTTTAATTAAATCCCAAAATTCTAAAATGAAAAGGAAACGTGGAAGAAAGAAACCGAATACATGAAGAGAAAGAAGATTATTCTTCAAAGATGTGTACAGTTATTATTATGTAAATTACTCAGTCGTTTTCAGCCTTTACTGTAATTTCCCATTTATATTTTCTCACCAGAATACAAATCACTTAGACAGTTTTTTTAAATGTAAGACAAGAGCGTGTTTCTGACCTCCACTTGTTCCTTAATAGTTCCTGCCAGCTTTTATGGTTTGTAATTATTTGTCTTTGCATAATCGCTGCCGACATTTGAATTTGTTATGATGATAGAGTTACTGAGCCAGCTTAAGATGAAATTAAATTGTATAGTCTTTGAGCACTAGTCCATATTTTTAGCTTGAATCTGACTCCTCTTCTTTATTTATATCATTATGAGCTGTAGTTGACTTTGTTAGCATAAGAACATGCTTTTATATTTTAACTTCTTTTTAAATAAGAAGCTTATTTAAACCTCTCTGACTTTGTAGTTACTTTCAGGCACAGCGATAATTTGCTTTGCCTCAGTTGGGGGGAGGAGGTTGGACTATTTAACTTTTACTAGCTCAAGTGAAACCCTAATAGGTGGATTGTGGAGAGGTTGACAGATTAGGAGATAAAACATGTAAAAACTAGTGAAAACATTGTTTTGCATACTGAGACAAGTTTTTAATTGTTAGAAAAAATGCTTAAAAAGAAGAAAGTCTATATAAATTAGCCAAAATGTCTGGGAAGACCTCAAATTAAAAAGATGCATAAATATTTTGTTGAGTGTTGTTGTTACGAAATGTAAATGGTTTGTATCTTTTAATGTGTAATTATCTAATATCATTTAAGAATCAATGTCATAAATTACATGCATTTTAATTTAACCTGTGAAATTTTATTAGATTGTGATTTTAATAGGGCAAAAGAAATAAGATTTAATAGCGACCATGTAAATCCATAATGACTAAGGTTATCTAATACCTAATTTAATTGCTTGTAACTAACTGCTTATTCTTAAAAATTATCTCTGCATACTAAAGTGAGTTATTGACTTTCATTTAACCCTTTCTGTGGTCACAAGATAAAACACAAAAATGTAAAAATTCATGTAAAACTTATTCTTCGCATTTAGTGAGACTTAAAATAATGCAAAACAACTTACCACCTCTGGTACTTTAGTGGATTGTTAGAACCTTAATATATATTAACTGAGTTACAAGCCCTGGAACTCTACATGAAACTACAACACTAGCTCGTCAGACAGAGCCCAGCTAACTTTCAAAACTTGCCAACCGTGCTTATATCAGGCCTTTCAGGTTTGTTCTGATCGGCAGATCTCTCTGTAGGCAAGCAGTAGCGGTGACAACAGCCAGTCTTTTGTTTTGAATCATGCTGAATGTGATATTACATCTCATTTTAACCTATGATGCTTGACATAAAATTTACCTTCTATTTACTTAACTTTTAGACTAAGTATGTGGCAAAATGAGACATAAAAGAAAAAAAAAAAAAAAACCAATAAAAAGCTAACTGTTAGTAAAACGTATCCTACTTACGGATCTATTTTATTCTTAGAGTGTTATTACAAAAATGGAGTTCAGACAAAAATTAATTGAATTTTAATTGAATTTATTCAGCTCCCATTTGCTGATAAGTCCTTAATTTTTTTCATTAATGGCCCTTAAAAGTACAATTTCCATGTACAGAAATGTGTACGAACCCTGTAAGATCAGTTTGTATAAAAAAGTTTTAATTCCGAGATCTGGGAATTTTTGGATGATATTTTTAAAACATTGTAACATTGATAGATTTCATTAAAATAATGGTAATATATTGAAATTATATTTAAAAAAAAATAGCATTAAAATAAAACATTTTTGTTTTTCGCTCTCGTATTATAAAGTTCCATTTCGGCAACATATTATACATTATTTTGAATCTGAGAAATAAACGTATAATGCTATAAAGCACAATTTATGAAAGTTCTCAGCAAAAGCAAAATTAGCTATGCAATAAATATGTCTTCTTTTTAATTTTTTCATAGTAAGAGTTTTTTCCATGTAATTGTCTCAGCATTCTCAGAATATGCATCAGTTTTCTCTATAAAATCAATTTTACACTTCCCCCTTTTTTCTTTTACAAAATAATTCTGACTTTTTGCTATTACAGAATTGGTAGGGTAATTTTTCTTTAGAATTTTAGACACTGCAGCTTAGAAAGTTTAGAAGGATTTGAAGGCAAGATTTATAGACCCATGATTCTAGAAGATTTCATAAATATGTGACAAAATGAAAAATGTTTATGCAGATAAACTGAATTTTCTTAAAATACACCTGGAAAAGTCAGGGAATGTCATTCTCCTGTATTGAGTGGCAACCCTGTACATAGAAAGCATTTGTTCTTTGTGGCAGTTTTGGGGCAAAACACGTCATTACTGCCTAGATTTTACTGTAATTTCTTCCATTCCAAGGTAGATTCGCGAAGCACATATTTTAAAATTGAGTTTAGGACCAAAAATATCATGATTTGTTTCTATAACTTATTAGAACATTAAATCATATTAATCGTTATTTGCATAGTTGTCAGAGTTTGATGCCTCCTTAAAATTTGTCAGTCTGTAATAAGGAGATTGTGCTAATACGTAAGTGCTGTAATAAATTTGAAATCAATTCTATTTATCTCAGATTTATAATATTTATGCATATATTTATTTATTTGGCTGCATTGCGTAGTGAAACTTCTCGGCAGCAATTTTCCTATAATGATCATCTTTGAAGTTAACAGCATCTCTTAGGATAAAATTAAAAATAGTTATGTTCCCTTAGGTGGCCTTCTGTATAGAAGACCAAAATTGTTTTGAACTCTGGTCTTTTCAGGGATATTTTACTGTATTTCTGTAATAAGTCTTGGATTTTTGTTTCAGGCTAAAGCAGATGCACGTAAAAAAGCAGGAGGCGATAACTCGTCTGTGGATGGCAGTTATTCAAAGGTAATATTTATGATGAACACTAAATCGACAAAAGTGCATACTTGTTAAAATAGCTATCATGCTTAGTTACTAAAACTGGTAAACTTAATTGTCCATCTAGTTTTTAATGATCAAATCATAGTAACTTAAATTTATTGTCTTAATTTGCGACATCTGTATGTACGTATCTTGTGTAACTCATAGACAGAATGCTAAAATTTTGTATGTGAGACTGGCAGGGCTCCGACTCCAGAGTCATGGAGTCGTAATCGGAGTTAGGCAGATTTCTGGGTAAAAAGGAGTAAGAGCTGGAGTCGCTAAAAATGCGCCAACTCCTACTTCAGTTTATGTTGGGTAGTTTCAATTTGAAATGAAATTAAAGTGAATTGAAAAAAAAAAAAGGTATTTTTGTTTATGGATAATAATATTTAGTTATTTTTCATATGATTAACATATTAATAAATAAATATAAGGGAGGAGGATGGATGTGATTCCTCAATGAAGAAAAGAGAAACTAGTTTGCTAGACAAAGATCTTGCTAGTTTCAATATATGTAGATTCAAAACACCGAATTTTGTTAGATGATGAACAAATTAAAAAGGCAAAGAAAGACATCTAGGAACTTTCACTAATAATGAAGTTATTCTCAGAACAACTGGAGTATTCAAATCAAGACAGTTAAACTGCAGACATTGCAACTGAGTCTGTCATCCTCTTCCATTCATGAATTAGATTTTGACAAGTATTTGAATAATACTGAAAGGGCCAAGGCAAGGCGATTAAAATGGAAGAAAACTCTTGGTAGTCCCACTGAGGTATCAATAAAGGATCTTAGACACAGAGGTACAACCTCCCGAGAGATCAGGTTCTGAGTTTCTGCTAAGCTAAAAAGGGCTGTATTTCTTGAGTCTTTGATTGTTGTGCTAAGTATGGAGATACAGCGAAGTACTATGTTGGTGGTCGTAGCTGTAAATTTTATTAAAATACTTAACTAAATTGGCTCTTCTTCTTATATGCAGTGGCTGTAAGTTGGTCTTGAACAAGGCTATACCAGAAGGGCAGCTATTTCTGAGTCCAAGAATAATTTGAGCAGCAATCATTTGTACACGTTCTAATTTCTGAAGATTGGTTTCAGACATTCAGGAATAAATTAAGTAGCCATATTCTAGAATAGGTCTTATGAGTGCAATATATGTGGTTCTAAGAGTGTTTGCATTAGCTTCCCAATCTCTGCCAACTAGATATTTAACCTTTTCGCAACGGCGCATCTTTGTTTAAGACACTCGTGCAGGGCGGAAGGGAATCGAAGGCAGTCACCGTACAGGACGGATGTTTTGCATCGCTAAGCCTAATTTTATATATATATATAAAAAAAAAAATCAGAAAAAAAGTTTCTCTTCTAGCATCGTAATTTTTGGTATCATTTTAGATTATTACTTGAGCTCTTAAATATGTTAAAATTAGCACTTAATAGCATTTTTTTCTTTATTTTACATGAAAATATACTTAAAAATTTTCTTATCTTGTGAAATAATTTTCGGAAGCGCTATTCATATTATTCCAAAGTTTTAATTGATAAAATCCATCAATAAAGTTTAAAATTAATAAAACAACACAATTAAGACTATTTACAGTAGAGTTAACAAAATTAAATGAAGACTGTGGTAAATCTAAGCACGGAGAAGTATCACTTTCTAACTCTTAGAAAAAGTATCACTTTCTAACTCTTTAGAAAAAGAATCATTACATTATCTCATCTGTGTTAATAAATGGTTCATTAACCATATGAGGGTATTCTTCCTCTGATAAGTAACGCCTTCCCGCCATAATAGAGTGGAGGTGAGTCTTTCCGAAACAAAAAAAGAAAAAATGGAAATATATCTGAAGGCAATGCAAAACGTAACAGAATTCCACATAAGTAACCCTAAAAAACCGTATATAGTAGAGGAAGAAAATAGAATTAAAAAAAAGGAATTGGATATAAATCAGACGTGCGAATATTAGCACACGGCAATTTAAAGAGCCCGCCTCTCTTTACGCTTTCCCTCCCTCCCTCGCAACAGTTGATGGGTAAAATACCAAAGTCAGACAGAATACTCAAGTCAGTGGAACTCAAGGTCAGGAACCTAAAACTGTGTTCATTTCAAAATGTCCAGAATGTCCAAAATTCCTATGTCCAGGATGCCATCTAGTGGCCTTCAGAAAAACATTCCAGCTTAAAATGCATATACCCATCCCCCGTCCTCTGAATTCAATCTCTAGTGATGCATGGATGGGACGCCTAGTTGTAACAGACGTTCTTAGGGAATGTATATATGGGACGCCCATTCTGAAAGAGTTAAGAATGTTTAGGCACTTACATGCCTTCAAAACCAAATAATCTATATGTCTGTTGCTATTGAATTTGGGATCAATGATTAATTCTAGGTATTTGGGATGTTTTTCGTATATGAGGGACTGAGCTTCGAAATACAACTTTGGTTTGTAGTTATACAGGTGTTTTTTAGTTGTAAAAAAGGTCACTGTTGATTTAGCTGGATTGAACTGTTGTGGATAAAAAAAACTTGCAATTTCTCATCATATGCTGTTATTCTTGTTATCTTAAACATCCTCACTTTCGTTACTGGTTTTGCATGGAGGCAATATAATTTGACACTAATTTGTCATAGTTATTCTTCTATCATTTCATAGTAAATTTTTTAGATAGTGCCAGGTTTTTCTAGCTTTGTGTAAGTAGAAATTTACTATAATTCTTTTCTTTTGGAAAAAAGAAAACTTATAGTTTGGGACAATTTGGATGATTGTCTTTATATCACATGCACAACAAATCCAATTTTGGAAATAAAAAGAATATGAGATAAAAGGATATGTTTATATAATATGGAGTATCCTGGAGGGGAATATGCAAGAGAAAATCGACAGTATTTTTAAATCATAGTAACATGTTAGTGATCCTCAACCTGCGAAAAATCCTCCCATTAACATGAAACCCTATCTTACTGATATGGACATTCAGCTTTCCAAGTAAACATGTCATGTCTTTCATAGATTCAAAGGATGCTGGCATTGCTAAATACCATATTCATCAGGGCAGCTCATACATTTGTACACGTCATTTCCACTTGCCTGCTTACCCTCATGAATGGAGAATTAGTTGTCTCTTATCACATTATGATGGAAATTTATTTCATTAAGCAGAACAATGTGTTAGACTCGCAATGTCATAACTTGGAATTAACTCCTTAAAGCATGAGTTTTTTTCGGAAAAACTGGCAAAAAATGATAGTCTTTTTTTAACAGAAAATCAATATATAGGTATATTATAAGTTATTTTTTGCAATTTCAGTTGGGGGGATGACTAGGGAGCAGAGTGGAGGGAGTAAAAGTTATAAAATTATTATATAAACAATCATTAAAAAATATAATTGAATTATATTTTTTTATATTTTATTAGGAGATAGTATTTTATACTTATTTATTTCCTAACATAAACATGAAGTATAGAACAAGCAAAAGACATTTATAAATACAAAAACGTAAGTGATGCCATTCACAAAAAGGGTAATGTTATTTTTTAATAGTTCGCTGGCTTTGCCGCAACATCCTCCCCACCCTGGTCAACCTCCAGGGGGATGACCAGCTGCACAGGTCGGGTAATGGTATGTCCATTGGTGCGCAGAACACAAGTATGGACTCTTTTGTCGCGGCCAAGGATTAGCTCCTCAACACGGGCCTCCTTCCAGGTGTGGCGAGGTCTAACATCTTCTTGTAGTAGGACAATGTCCCCTTTCCGTATTTTATTTGTTTTCAGATGGATTCCGCACTTGATGAAATGTACGCAAGTCCATCAAATATTCCTTTTGCCATCTTTTCCAAAAGGAGTCCATCAAATGTTGACGATTTTTCCACATATGATTTAAATTTGTTTCAGGATTTGTGGGGCTGGAAGGAATAGTGGTTAATTTCTTTCCTATGAGGAAGTGCGAGGGTGTTAAAGCTTCCTCAGAGTCATCTTTTATTCTATATTCATGGACAATCGGTCTACTGTTAAGAGCGGCTTCAATATCACATAATAATACAGTGATCAAACCAGCGTCATCCAAAAGAGCCTTACCTAATGTTTTCCGAAGGCATCGCTTAATTGAGCCAATCATTCTTTCCCACCATCCTCCCCACCAAGCCGCTCGGGGGGGGGGGGCGATGAATTTCCATTTGATGTTGTGGTGGGCATAAAACTGTTGTGCCTTGGCAGAGGATATAGTATCCCACAATAACTTCAGCTCTTTGTCCGCAGCGCAGAAAAAGTTGTGGCATTATCAGTGTACACTGTATGAGGAAGTGAACGTCTAGAGACAAAACGTTGTAATGCAAGTAGGAAGACGTCAGTACGCAGATCGGAAACTAATTCTAAGTGGATAGCTCGAGTTGTAGCACATGTGAAGATGACAATGTAGGCTTTTGTAACGGAGTTATTATTTTTTACGTAGAGTGGTCCAGCAAAATCAATTCCGGTAGTTTCGAAAGGAGATGACTTTTGAATTCGCTCAGCTGGTAGTGGAGCTTCTATCTGTTCACTTCTCTTTTGTTTCAGTACTTTACATGGAAGGCAAGTCTTTATCACTTTTTTAATGGCTTGTCTTGCTCTTAATATCCAATATTCTGAACGAAGCTGAGAAAGTACAATCCGAACACCGAGATGATGCATTCGTAAATGTGTTTGGCGTATCAGTAGGCTTGTAAAAGGATGAGAACCTTCCAATAATATGGGATGTTTTTCAGCATGAGATAAATCAGAAAATTGTAGTCGACCACCAAGAAGTATAATATTGTTCTTGAAGAAAGGGTTAAATTGTTTTATCCTTGATTTCTTAGGGAGTGATTTTCCTGTCAACAGAGCTTCATATTCTGAAGGAAGGAAAGGATTCTTTCTGAACGGTCTGTATCCAATAAATACGAGCTTGATTCAGTTCTGTGGCATGTAACTCACCCACTAACTTTTTTTGTTTCCTACAGTTGTGAAT